ATTTATCACATGAAAACGGAAAACAGGAAACGAAAATGGAAGTGGACAGGGCCTTAGAGAAGCTGGAGGAAACAAGGATGGACACACAATACAAATTGATTTGTCGTTTGATGTGTCTAATGTTGACCTAGCCGTTTCAACAACTACCATGGAGAGAATATTTTCAGCAATGGAACATGAACATTGATTTGTGCAACAAATTGAGCGATGAATTTATCGTTGATTACTTAGCTATTTTCTTTGAAAAAGAGTATATTATCATTATGGATGGAGATTATATTATTGATGAATTTGCTAAATTAAAAGACCTTCTTATACAATTGGCATTGTAATGAAAACTATATTATTATATATTTTTGTTTACGGTATCTAATATTCTATTCAAATGCGGCCTAGTGCTCTCTTATGTCCTGGATCCGCCGTTGGAAATCGTCAATGGGTTTAATGATTTTCACTCTAATGGATCACTCCCTAGGAGCGTCCACACACTCTTTCCTATGCCTGCTACCCAAAATAACCTTATAAAAAAATCATTTAGATCAACGATCATCGATAATCTTTTGAGACAGATCCATTGGAATATTAGATAATTCTTCAATATACATAAAAAATATTTATTGAGTTAAATGATCGACAATATTTTTCATCTCGTCCTGTCTGGCTACTATCATCCTATGCCAACGATCATCGATCATCTTTCGAGAAAGATCCATAGTAACATTAAATAATTACTCGGTATACATAGAAATCAATTTATTGAGTTAAATAACCGACAATATTGACATGCGGTGTGTTGTAATATATGTCTACACTACAATATCATTAATACTAACAACACCTTAAGCCAACGGTAATATCACTAATCCTTAACATGGAAATTTTAAGTTCAAATTGTTTAACTAGTACCTAATTAACCACAAAAACAAACATATATCATCCTTGTAAAATAATCATCAATCATGCATGTTATCAGCTGGTATGTCTATCACCATTTCAATGGCATCCATGAGATCATCTAAAAAGTACACGGCATGGTTATCATAGTTCATGATTGTAAACCAGGCATGATTATAGTTCGATTTCTAAGTGATAACCTTAACTTAATCAAAATTAATCTTGGATTAAAAGCAGAACAAAAGCATATGTTTAATTATTCGGCAAAGAGAGGAGGAGGAGGAGGAGGCCCAATTTCCAAAAGGGATTGGTAGGGTTTATGGTGCAACATCATCTTTCACTAACACACCAATATTCATTCTCATCATACGATTGCGAACTAGAGCGTCCAGCCACCCAATCATCTTCTTGCAATTCTGCCTTTTCCCAACTTTGTTTTAAAATTTTGTTATCCTTTTGCTTGTTGGGCTCTTCTCAAACTAATTTTGCTTTCCTGTGGAAATAGTAACATAAAATAACACGTGGGCCTTTTGAAGGCCGAAAAGAAAAAAAGGAAAAAAAATGACGTGATCAATTAGAACCTTAACATTTCAAGTTTTACTTTTAGTACCTAAATTTTGATATACTTATATTTTGCTTTTATATTTTGCATCACAATTGCATGAGGAATGCTTTAATTTTTTGTCGTTATGGTACAAGTTGAAGTTGTATCATTAACATTATAGAACAATTTCAGGTTATACATGGGTCAGGTTAGTGTACTCCTGGAGTATACCAAACCGAGTTTGGGGTATTATACCTAACCTCTAATGATAAACCCCAATCCCCGATTTCCTAAAACTCAAACCCTAAGTTACATTTAATAGAATAGAATAATTGACAGTTGAGATTGGTCGGAGCTCATCAAAGTACATCTAACGGCCATATCAAGTGGAGTATACCAGTCTTTACCGGTTGTACACATACTTTTATGTTATGGTACGACCTGAAGTTGTATCATAAAATAAATGTACAAATTTCCTTATGGTACAACCTGAACTTGTACATCAAACGTTATGGAGTTGTACATTAAAACACCAATGCTTTAAAGTATAGTAGAAGTGCTCCAATTAGCTACTTTTATCATCTTTCATTTTATTACCTAAGATCTTCATAAGTTTACAAACATGTCTACAGTCTAAGAATCTACAACTTCGAGAAAAATTATCTAGACCGAACAATAATTAATCGAAATGGCCTCAGCACAACATCAAAATTTCAAGATAATATAAAACATCCACCATGCGATTTAAATTCACCTCATAAACCTGTAAATCCATGTTAACCATCCACGAATTCATTAGCCCACCAACAAAATTCATTTGCTACGCACGATACAAAGGGGAAGACGTGCAATGATCAACATGGAATTTGATTTTAATTTCTGGGACCGATTCCATTGCCTTGTAGCAGTAAAACGGGCCATGATCAATGCCTTTTAGTTCCTGACTTTCGAAGAACCAACCAAGGGAGGCCTGAAAAGAAAAGATACAAAGCACTTGTAAAAAAAATGTGAAAGTGCATACCAAAATTAAATTTTATAACTAAAGGAGAATGGGTATATACACTTCAATCTTGATTTGGGTTAGCTGTAAAAATATTGCCATCCATTGCATATGAACTAAAATTTACTTTTTATTGTACCTTCATAAAAAAGTATTACTTTTTTACCGGAAAAATTAAATTAAATTTTGAAGAGGCAAATATTCAAATGAGTTCTGTTTTTTTTTTGTCCTACTTTTTTGGGTACAAAATTATTTTTTGTTTGGAACACCCTTTTATGTCGTGATCATTCAACTTCCTTTTCAATAGAATACAATGTAAAATGTTGAAGTGTTTAATCTCAAGAAGTTATGCTAATTAATTTTGTCTTGTTATAAGTGCACTACTGTCCCATTACCTTATTCCTTATTGAGGTTTCTAGACTAACCTTCCACACCTTTGGTTTTTATCGTTGAAATCCTTGGTTAGGGCCCCCTCTAATCTTGGGTTTCTTTAATCATTTTTCTCATGGGCCTTTTCTCTACTTTCAATAAATGAAGTTAGACCATATTGAAAAAGAGGACAAGAAAGTCGAGAATGAAGGCTGGGAAAGAGTGTATGTTTTCACCCTACCAAATTAATAGAAAATTAGAAACTCACCTTGTTTGCTTTAAGGATTTAAAAATGAGGGTTTAGTAATTTAAAAACTCAAGTATTTATCAAAGATTTGAGGCATTATGAATTTGTAACAATCTTTTGTTGGTTGAGATGTTTTATCATGTATTTAAGAGTTTGGGATTTAGAACTTAAAGTCTAAGGGGTCGTTTGCTTCATGGATTTATAAACGAGGGTTTTGTAATTTAAGAACTCAAGGATTTATTAAGGATTTGAGGCATCATGCATTTGTAATCCTTTGTTTGTTGGAATGTTTTTATCATGGATTTAAAGGTGTGGGATTTACTACTTGAAATCAAAAATTACATTACTACCCTTTTCTATATGTTTGACATGTTTATGATATGTACACAAAACAAGGACAAAACTTCAAAATTACCTTACTATCATTTTCTATATGTTTGACATGTTTATGATATGTACACAAAACAAGGACAATACATACTAATAAGCATAATGTTGCTACATGGACAGTAATAATAAACGAGAAAATTCCGTTTTAACTTTTAACGTAACATAATCAATTACCAATTCTTTGTCCTCCTTTTCAAAAATAACATATAACAACATATATTAAGATCGGGAGAACAACGAATTACACGTTCCATGAAAATGTCAAAGAAAACTAGAACACAAGAAATGATATAAAAAATCTAATTCATGTTTGCAAATTAATTGAACGTTTATATTATTCATTTATTCTTAATTATAATGTATAATAGTTAAATTTGAGGGCAACCTTGGAATATTAAACGTGCATGAGGGTATATGGGTAAAATGTCATCAAGGATTTATGTCATATTTCAAATCCCACATCAACATGTGGGATTTATAAGTCCGTGGGGTCCACGGATTTGGACCCTTAAAATTCGTGGGCCCCACGGATTTGGTCTCCAAAAAAGGTGCAAGCAAACAACAGATTGTACCTAAATCCTTGATAGTTGGTTTTTTGGTACCAAATCCATGTACCAAATCCTTGAAGCAAACGACCTCTAAATCTATCATCCAAATCCATAAATTAAACGACCCCTAAATAAGTCTGACGGGGTGTGAAAGCGTTCATTATAAGATTTGTTAGGACTTACTTTAATAACCCTAGTGTTTCTAACTGTTGATAGACAAGTTTATCTTCTAGGTAGGACACCTTCAAGGATTTTCTTTCCTCACATAAGGTTTATTTTTTCCTTACCCTATGTTACTCTAACGGTCAATCAGACAATTTTTTTTTTCTAGGACTTACGTTAAACGTTTTTTTTTCCTTCTCTCACGTATGATTTTTTCCTTAACCTATGTTTTCCAACTGTTGATTATGCATGTTTCTCTTTTCGCAAGGACTTATTTAAAATGTTTTTTTCTTCTTTCATGTTTTTTCAGTTGTAGATTATGCAAATTTCCCATTCTCAATTCAAAAAAAAAAAAATCATAAGGGGTTATATTAGTACACATATGTTCTATGGTTGTTCACTGAATGTTCAAGTTCAAGATTCATGACTAATTAAATAGTAATTAGTTGTAAATTTTACATGTCACAACTCATTTATTAGTGTATGGACTTTGCTATGTCTAAGAGAATTCGGTTGATTGGTATCTCAAATGCTAAATAATGACAAAAAATAATATCGATCTAATATGTCTCGATATGTTATCACTATACACAAAATACTATATTAAAGAATTTCATATTACAAACAATAATAAGGTGGCGTGAATTGAACATAAAGTATTGGAAATTTCTATTTATGTATAGAAATAGTGAAGTATTATGTACGATGGACTAAACGTATACTTTAATATTATTAAATCAATCATAATTCTCTAAATCTCAATTTAGTTTCACTATAATCATTCATCCATATAACTAAGAAATTCATTCTTCTAAAATATTTTATCATGAGCATAAATGCAAGTCGGTACGAATTATCTGTTTATTATCATCATATGTACAATGGACTAAACATATACTAATCACTGATAATTCTAAATCTAAATTTAGTTTCACTATAATTACTCATCAATACAACTAAGCCATTCATTCTCTAAGATATTTCGTCATTAGCATTGAACAAAAGAGAATAACAATTAGTCATTTCTTACAATCACATAGTTAATTATAAATTCTGGTATGGGGAACAATGACCTAGATTTATTTCAGAGGGGTTGGGGCTCTTTGAGTTCTGGGAAGATTCACTATATCATGTTTAAATTTTTTGTATTCTCGATATCTTGGTATATATCAATTTCAATTGCATATCTTGAATATTGAATACTACTAAAAAATCAATGTCAATCATAAAAAAATAAATAAACTCACTAATAAATTAAAATTCAAATAATGATAAATTTGGTGTTTTCCAAATGCGGATACCAAACTTCCACCCCTGACTACGAACAGTATTTTAGATATTACAATCCTTGGGAGTTGGTCACTGATTTTTCAAGTAATGATTAATTACTAATCAACTTAAATCACTACTCATTAGCTATGGATAAAACTAATATTCACATGCATATGGGCATGGTTACATGGAATAAATATGTTTTCTCATTCCTTAATGATATTTACTACGCCAAGTAACTTTCAATTACCCCTAACCAATCACGCCCAAGTAACATTCATTATTAACGAGCTAAAGTAGGTTAATTGGCTTGGTCACTATCACAGGAAAACTTTATATTCTACTTATTAGTATACTTTGTTTTGGCCAAATCAATTACGATATGTTAGTTGTGTAAGTTTAAATGTTATTACATATAGAAACGTACACACAATGACTTAATTAACATCTAATTATATGTTAAGTATTAACAGATACAGTTCAATGGGGATTGGATGGCCACTAATGTTTGATTTCGTTATGATAGATTTCATAATGTGTGTCCGTAAGTTTGAATATAGTTATATCCAATCGAAAACTATATTCGTATCCCAAAGGTTTAACAATTTTTGAAAATTTTATTTTGTTCTCTAATAAAATCAACATTCATTTAACACAAGGGTGCTCTTTATTTCTAATTAACATATAAATTTTTAGATAAACGGCTGCAAAGCGCAAACCAATTATCTAGTAGATAATTGACCAAGAGTACTAAATAAACCATGTACAAATATGTTAGCATCGTGTTTGGGAATCGGGGTTGGTGTAAGAATGTCTTTGCATCATCGTGGGTCCTTGATCATGCATTTTTGCCTCTCCTGTACGAGCCCTTCCGACATCAACCCAAACATATCCATTGCTGCACTCAAACATTTTGCCAAGAAGATTATTGTTTTCCAACGAGGAAAATTTTGTGTTTGAACTCAATTAATCCACCTTGACTTCTTGAACAACGAAAATTAACACGATTCACTCTTCTCCGAACAATGTTTGAACGAGGGTGTTTGATATTTTTGATTGTTTTTTGGGAACAAGCTATGTTAATTACACCTACTCTTATGGAGGTTCAGTGAGAGCTCCGAAAACTATGGCTATGGCTAGTTTGCAGAGAAAGGATAAAAGTTTGACATTGTGCGTTAAAAGTTTGACATTCATTTCTCCTGTTTATACCCATTAGGTGTAACTGCCTTGGTAACCGCCCTGGTAAATTCTAGTCGGCCTGTTGCTCCAACCGCCTTTGTACCCATTCTCGCCGCCTTGGTGTTAACTCCTATTACCTTGGGGCCTCTTGCCCGACCTTGTTAACTGGTTGGTACTTGATGGCCTGAAAGCCAGGTAGGGTTGGTGCTGAGTTGTGTTGCCTTGTCTTGACTGGATGGGGTTGAAGCTCTTAACCTTGCCTCCATGATGAAGTCTCATTTTGTTGTCTCTAAGGCTTGATACCCCTTGCCACCAAGCTAGTCATATCAGCCCCTACTACCAAGCCAACCTTGTCGACTTGGTCTCCATACTTAGTTTTTAAAATCTCATCAAGTTGGTACCTTGTCGCCCCGCCGGCTTGGTACCCTGAGGCCACCAAGCCCGTCTTGGGACTTCGTCTACAAAACCTCTTTCGTCGGCTTGGTACCCCGAGTTGCCATGCTTGGTACCTGAGCTGTCTTGCCAGCTTGGTACCCCGGCAAATTAATTTCATGTTTGGGTAGGCTTGCCCAGCCTTGCCAGATTGGTTTGTCATGCTTGGTACCCTCAGCCTACCGAGTCGACTTGATCCCTGTCGTGTGGCTCCCTGTTGCTATGGCTGGTATGACACCCTGTTGCTTTAAGATTCCATACTTAGCCAAATTTCATGCTTGGGTACCAAGGTTGTCTTATGTTTTGATACCAGGCATGCCTTGTAGGCTAGGTACCCTCAGCCTACAAAACCTCTTTCGTCGGCTTGGTACCCCCTGTTGGCCGCCAGGCGCCAACCACTAGGCCAAGAATAGGGGTTTGGCCACTTAAGCCCAAAAAGCCAACTCAATAAGGTCCAAATAGCTCTTTAATTACTAATGTTAAACTGGTCTTTTAAATCCATTACGTTTTTGGTAATTAATCAATGTGGTACAAACTAATTTTTTTATAGGTAAACAATTAGTTAGACTAATACATATTGTATTCAATAGAAACACAGTACTGACAATTAATCCACGCTATCAAACTGGTTATTAACTTATTATTATGTTTTATATTCAACCCACAACGCGTTTACTAACTGCCTTTTTGCTTTGCATACAACGAAATTTGAACATGAATTCAAAGCTTGTTAACGTTATGCCTTCCTCTGAATTCCTTTCCTAATTAATTGGGGAAACTTTGTGACTAACATTACACGAAGGAAGAAAGCAAAATTATTCCTTGATTCCATGAACGAAGAAAGCAAGGCAAAAGAAGGGACAAAAACAAAGAAGAGAAAGGCCCCACGTGTGGAACCGAAAATTGCAGAGCATTTGCTTGGGATTCCTATATATAATATAACACCATTGTTGTGGCTTGTGGGTACCCTATTTTTGGATATTAGAGCCACCTTTTCGAAAGGCCTTTGGCCTATTGGGTTTCTGTTTTATGCGAGTGTGTGTGTATATGTGTCTTTCTATGGCCACTTCATGACTCCCACTGTCTTCACAAAAGCACGCTCCTCCTCCTGCTAAAGGGAAAAGGATCGGGAATCCTATGCCTCTTCACACATGCAAGTAAATAGTTTGTTGGTGAAACTTGGCTTGCATTCTATATGGTTTAACTAGCTTATCTTGTCTTTTAGGTACTTCATCTCTACATCCTAGCCAATTCGATTCAAACTCCCACCTTTACTTTGGGATTGTTATTATACATATTGATAGGCAAAGAAATAGACTATAATCAAAAACATAGAAGGTTCTTTTGGTTTCTTTGTTGGCTATATGTGTATTTGCATGCATTGATTGAGGCACAAGTATTTTTTTTTTACTTCATTATGCTTGGGAAAATTTCTTCTGTTCACAATTTGTTACGGAACTGAAAATAACACGACTTTATTTTTATGATTAAAATGTGCTTTATAAATGATTAAAATGGTAGATTCCATAACAATCATCCAACAAAAGTTATTAACGAGATAACATGATTTGGTTGACTGGATTAGAATGTTATTTTGATATACGTGAATCTAACTTACTATAGATTGATTTGGGTGTACATCTTTGAAAGAGTTTGGATCCAAGCAGTGACGGAGTCGGGATTCAAAAGTACCCATGTCTTATTTTCATAATATAAGTTAATACATTATTATTTAATTAATATAATTAAAACTAATAATACCAAATAATTTATTAAATAACCAACTAATACAATCATTGTTTATAGTTAAATTAGTTTATCTTAGCTTTTACACAAAAATTAACTCATAGTGTAATGGTATAAAATTTTTATTACACCTAGAGGTCATGAGTTCAAGCATTTGTTTATACATATGTTGAGCATTATTTTCACTCCAATTTTTTTTTTTTTTTTTTCACATACCAATGTCCCGTGACACTGTCTGGACCCTTGCCTCCGAACCCAAGTTTCGGTCCTATTGATTTTGGGATACTTTCATGTTGGAAGACAAGGATGTGAATGGAGGAATAAGATTAAGAAAAAGAATGGGAGGGATATGTCAAAGATACACAATAATTTGGAATATAAAATTGATATTATTGGTAATGTTGATTCTAGTTACAATCTTGATTTCTAAAAAATGGATATGTGTACACAATAATTTGGAATATAAAATTGATATTATTGGTGATGTTGATTCTAGTTACAATCTTGATTTCTAAAAAATGGGAAGGTCCCATATCCGGATTTTGTCATTGATTCAGGGCCATCCTTACATTTCTTTGTCATGAAAGGAATGATTGATCAAAGTTGTAATCCTACACATAAGACCTCTAAGCCCTTTGCTCCCACTTGTCACTTCTCTTCCCGCCAAGTTCATCATTGCATATATACCGAATGTGTGTATTTTAGGGATGCCAATTTCAACTCACCCATTAGTATTATACGATCTGATTTGTGATTATGTGAGTATTATTCGATTTGTAGTAGCGTGAGACGGGATATGTGTATTTACTTTTAATATACTATTTCCCATTCCGTCTTGTTCTTGGCCCATTTTATTTCATTTTCTTACAATATTAATTTATATTTCTTCTATTTTGACTTTTCTTTCAACTAGTTACACTTTATATTTCAACTAATTAGACTCAATTACTCATTTTATTATCACTATTTTTCAATTATAAAGTGGTTTTCCTTCGTTTGATCGTAAAAAAAAGTAAAATTTTGCTTGTATTTTTTTCAAATAATATGTAAGAGTGAATTGACCTACCAATTCGTGTTTGATGCAAACCAAATATGGATATTGAGATATCTGCCCGATACATTGCCATCTCTATTGTATCTTGCTACTTTTCAAACCATTTGGATGGTAGGCCTTCCACATTTGCAAATGACAATACAATAATTAGCCTCTTGTTTCTTGTCGACAAGGAAGTAGCAGGGTTTTCTTACATGGAGCTACAAAAATAACCAAAAGACAAATAAAATAACATCATATTATTTAACGTGGTATCCTTAGTATAACACTAATCCATAGAAAGAATTTCCAACACATTCCACCCAAGATTTCAGTGAAAATTTCATGTTTGGTCATTATAAAATTTGAAATTAGCATCTCTGTCACACCTCCAAAACTTTTAATTGACGCATTTGGTGTAATTACTAGTAATAAAATGATGTTTGTACCAGGATGCTGATAGAAAAATGATTTTCAAAATCAAATTAGTGACCAATTTATCCATGATTGTTGAATTCTATGCATTGAGAAATATTTGAGTGTCAATATAAGTGATGAACGTATTTCACAAACCTCTATTTATATACAATTTTGTTGCTCGCTGTTAAAAATAATAAAATTTTATATGTACTCTATATATTAGATTTTATTTGTTTTTATTATTTTAGTTTATCGACGAACACAGCTCTCCAAAATTATGGGTCCGCAACTTTATATCCCTATAATATCTTAGAAACCTTGCAAGCATCTCCTAACTATAGAAACAATAATTAATGTCGTTCCATCTTTGAACTTAACTAAACTATAGACTAGTACTCTGCTTCTATAGATGACTCGGAGAGTTGTTTATGTTTGCAACACATCCAATCTAAGAGAGTAAGGATGGTACAAAGCACACACCATATAGAAGTTTAGCGCCTTGTATCCAGACACGCTGCATAATCAACTCAAACAAAGGTTTGGACAATCGGTCCTCTTTTAGTTAGAAAGAAGAACCCAACATGTTTGAGTTATTACCATATATCAACATATTAACGGTTAGTAGATCGAGTTATTGATGACACATAAATTATACTATTTTAGACACCTATTTAGTGGCGTGTTTTACATCAGTTTCACATCTTTATTATCAATATTTGATGTCGTTTTCACATCGTTTATGTACTTTACTTCTGTGTATGAGCCCAACACAAACCAGAGACAGAACAAACAAACTTAACCTCAAGAGACTTGCCCAGAATCGTGTTTATCACACGGGTACTTCTGATTCCTCAAAAGCTAGGTCACCACCAACTAGAAATTAAAGAGAGCTTTTAAGGAAAATAACTCACATCTCTTTGCTTAAACCCTCTTTTCGACGAGTGTTCTGAAGCGGAGGTGCAATAACCTTGATTCTGAACAAAAAAATGCTTGGAAGCATGGATGAATGGACACTCTATGAGTATAGGAAGCCACAAGATGAGAATGTTGCTTCCAACATTGTCCTAGCTACCACCGAATATCCATTTTCATGATAGACAACATCAGAGAAAAGATCTACCTATCAAATTATGGCATGAATGACTGAATGAGTAACATGGACTGGGGGAAGTCACAATATTATTGGTTATATGCAGATGATATACAATCATCTTTTGTGATACCTTAGAGGATCAAGTGTTGATTATTCTAGTTGTGTTGATTTGCGTTTTGTCTGTTACCAAAGTACTCAAAGTTCAATGTTTTTGGTAGACACTCAAAAGATTAATTTGGCGAAGAGTATGATGTTCCTGTTGGTAATACCCAAAATTTGTAGGAATTTCCTAGTGTGTTTGGATGTAATTGGAGATCTCGTACCACTACTTATTTGGGTTTGTCCCTCGGAGCAAGTCCAAACTCTTATACCATATGGAATTATATTTCACTTAGGTACAAATTAAACAAGGCTAGACGGTTGGCAAGAAAAATATTTATCACTTCATTATTAAATAACTCCTTCTTGACCAGCCAACCATTATACCTTGGCCCTCTCTTCAAGGCTGACAAATGTTGAATAAAATGAAATTGTTAAAGAAAACTAGGGTTGGGGAGTAGGTGGTTTTATGGACATTTGGCTGGGTTTGGAACCACTCAGGTGGGTGAATGAGAAAATGACCCATACCCATCCAAACATTACATGTGGGGTGGGGTGGGTTGGGTGATTGTAGATAATGGGTGGTTGGTTGGATTCTTTAGGTTTACAAGTTACAACATATATTTCATATGATCACATAATTTCAAACTTAAAATGAAAGAAAATTTTAAAATAAATAACGCTTAATCCATAAATTAGGTGAATCATTTATTTGTCTACTAGTTATGCTTAAGCGTACCTCCAATTGCCTAAAATTTTTTTTTGCCTAAGCACACCTCACAACACAATCCTTTGATCGAAATTGAGAGGAAATTTTGTGATTTTAAGGGTTTCATTTGCGGTAAACTATATATTAAAGTTTCGATGGTTTGAGGTTAAAATTTTGAGTGTGTCATGGGTCAACCACAATCCACCCACACCCATCCAATCTTTTGTGGGTCATCTATTTAATTTATAACCCGCACCCACACATAGGAACCACCCACGTGATAATGGGTGAGTCGATTTTGGGTGAATTTGTGGGTTCTGTTGACGGAAAGCCCGTCAATGGGCAGTGATGTGCTGAAGTACCTTTGATCTGGAAGGTGGGAATAAAGGAAAGAAAGATCAAATGCAAGGCTGGAAGATTGTGTGTAGAAGGAGGATTGCCTCATCAGAAACAATATTGGAAGGTTTTCAATTTTGAGAGATAGCTTCCTTATTCATGATCAACGGCTACCTCCAAGACAATAATAAAAGAAGTAATCTGAACTGAAGCAAGGTGAGCAAACTGTTCGGAATCAATACTTACGGAGAGCTAAGGAAAAAGCTAGTAGTGTTGATTAGAAGAGAGTCCCTAAACTGTGATTCAGGGAGAATTAGTGATAGGGATTAGGGAGTGAGCGTTGGATTACGTTGTAGCTGAATAGCTGGGTTCGTTTATAGTGGGTAGCTGGATTAGTCGGTAGTACAATTTTGAATTTTCCTACCACCAGAAACCACGTAAAAATATTGCTCCGAATTTCATATATTTTCTTTTAAAGAATGTATGTCTTGCACTCTTGCTAATGACCTCCATCTTGTCTCTACTACAGTATATTGGGGCTCTATCTCCTTTTTTTTTTTCTTCTCTCTTTCAATACCAACCGTTTGAGTGGAGAACTTAATAAAATTAGCTGTTATTCATCCATCCCAAAAAGTTGGGGTAAAAAAACCCCAAACAAACGAGAAGAATAATTCATCTGTAAGGAAACAACCAGGGCCGTCCCATGATATTTGGAGGCCCGGTTCAAAAATTTAAAATGTAACCCTAATTTTTTTCCCCATAAATTTGTCAAAATTAAAAATTAGTAAATAATTGTAAAAAAATACTTAAGTTCAGAAAAAGATTACATCAGGAATAAACGATCTCGTTTCGAGTTTGACCCAGAAACCAAGACCGAATTCCCAGCCCTAGTAGGGAGGAAAGTAAATCTGGAAGGAAGAGAAAATGGATATAGCCCAAAAATTGAATGGAGAAATGAAAATAGTCTAAATTGATTGAGAGGTGAGTGCAGGGTTGTCTACTAGATCGTGGGGGCCCTATTTCAAAATCTAGACGTGGTCCAAATCGACCTTTAACTATAATAAAAATAAAATAATTTTAATAACATTATTCAAAATGTAATATCTTTCTATATTGTTTAAATTAAAATTATCTATTATTTTTCAGATTTTCGTATTCTCCATGAGATCCTTTTCAATTGTTATTATAGCTAAAATTATCTAGTAAACACATCATCATACTCATAATCAATCAATCATACGCTAAAAATACAACCTACAATATATGATCGGTAACTAACGCATCTAAGTAGAGGCTCCTAATATTCTGAGGCCCTGTGCCGGAGGGCGGGCCAGCACACCCTCTTAACCGGCCCTGGAAACAACTTAGCTACTAGCTAGTAGCTAGCTAGATTCGTGCGCACAGAATGAGTGTCACCTGAGTTAAACACACGACCAC